GGACACAGCCAACAGAGCAGACCAGGTCCAAGAACAGGAACCAGAAACTTCTTCCACGTGGATGTAAAAGCCCATGACTTCAACCATCCTCCACTGTTTCCCCAGGCACTTAACAGGGAGCTGAATCAGAAGTGAAACAGCTGGGACTACAACCAATACCTCAGTGAGATACTGGCAGAACAGGGGGCAACCTTACTTAGTATGCCACAGAGCAGGCTGCTGTGTGTCTGGATTTAATTTCTTGCTGTGGCTCCTGACTCTCTGACTGCCAAAGCAGACACTGCGAGGGAAGAAACAATGGCTCAAGTAATTGGATTCCTACCATGTGTATGAGTCTGGAAATAGTTCTTGGCTCCTGGGTCCAGTCGCAGGCTCTTCTGAGCATTTGGTATGCAAACCAATAAATCGCAACTCTCTACCTTTAAAATAGGTGAAAACATGTTTTCCAAATTTTAACTAAGGTTTCTTAAAAAAATAAACTTCTAGCCTACAATATTATGTCTAGAAAATATTACCAAACAAAAATACCTTTCTAGCAAATAAGTGAAATTATAGATAGATGCACAATGCATACTGCAAACAGTGCTAATGGAAATTCTTCATGTTGGAGGAAATTATCTCCAGCTGGGTGCCCTAAACTTAAAGAATGAAGAACATTAGAAACTATCATTAATATTAACAATATTTTGTGTTAGTTAAAGCATATGTAATATTGAGAATGTGTGAAGTTTCCGGATGAAAGGAGGAAGGGAAATAAATGGGATTAAACCGTTGTAGCTAGGCATTATGCTGAAATTAGTGAAATTTGTAATTCAAAGTGTACTATGGCCGTTCTGCATGTTTGAATCTTTAGGGTAGAAATTAACAGCCTAACAAAAGATTACAGAACCCAGATGCTAATGATAGCCCTAACCAGGAATGATAAAAATACCCCATCATTCTAGTTAGGCAAAAAAAGAAAAGTGAAAAATAGCCAACAGATATGGTAATTAAAAACATAAAAGCAAAAGACTTACCCCCAGCTCTATGAGTAATTGCAGCAAAAGTACATAACTGAATACCTATCACCAATGTTTCAGTACTGTTTACACAGCTATTTAAATGATACTGTGAACAACTGTATGCCAGGAAGGTTCACAACTTAGGTCGAGGTGAGAAAACCATGGCTAAAAGCTAGTCTTGTGTCTATTTTATGATAAAAGATTTATCAGAGCGCATGTAAACCCATTTAACTGCATACTGTGCACGATTTTTTTTTCCTCCACCCAAACACAAGTATGGAGCAATAGCAACAGAGACTGTAAGGTCCTTCAAAATTGTATTTACAGTATCATCCTTTACAAAACAAAATTTTTCCAAACATTACATTGATGAAATATACAAATAGCTTGGAAAGTACAACATACTAAAAATGACATAAGAATACATTGTGGAATTTCAGAATCCTATTTTTATTTTTAAGAATCATTTGATAAATTTGTTAAACATTTCTACATAGAAAGTTCCTGACCCAGGTGAAGTCACTAACAAAGTATTCCAGATATTTAAACAATAAATATTCTTTCTGACACACATTGTTCCAGAAGAGTAAAAGGAGAAATATTTCCAGGCTCTTTCTATGAAGCTAGCCTATCCTTGATCAATGTGGTAAGCACATGACCAGACAAGATAAATGGGCAAGAATATCTCATAGACGCAGAGGCCCCAGACAAAATTTCACCACGTTGAATTCTCACCGTGGTGAATTTAGGTAGATAGATGAAGTGATCGAAAAATAGACTTTCAGTATGCAGACTTTTGTTCTGGATTCTTTCACATAAGCTATAATGTTTTCCACTTCACCCACTTTACAACATCAGTTGAAACCTCATTCCTTTTTGTGGTTTGTAATATCCCACTGATGGGCATTTTGGTTTATAATTTTAAATAATGAATAAGCTTGATATGAAGAGCCATATATATGTTTTTTAATAAAAATATGTATCTTGGATGTAAAATATCAACTAATAGTGAATAAGAGCTCTAAAGCATAGTGATATTTGGAAATAGAATACTGCTCTGGAAATACACACGCCACTCACATCGTGAACCTGTTCAAAGAAGTCAAGGCAAGGGAATATTTTTAAATGTGAAGTACGGAGTATTATATAAGATATTTTAAAACAATAAATTCTTGGCTGCATAGACTAAGAACAAGTGTGGCACCAGCCCAGAATTGAATGGATGGTTCACAGATAAGCCTGTGGAATCCTGTTCTGTGTCCTGTTGCTCTAGCAGTCTCTTCTGAATAGTTATTAATAGGGATACGTGCATACTATTTTCTCCTTCACAAAGTCCCAATTCATATTCTCTCTCTCTGTATATATATATAGTATCTTGAAAACAGTGACTCCATTCTTATTTAAATAACATTCATAATACCTAAGAATGACATTTCTGAATAATATACAAGCTCTATCTCTGAATTTTTACTGAAATTGTCGTATAATGACTCTTAAGTTTAGATCTATTTACGAGTAACTTATGTGCCAAACCATTCTTTCAAACAACTGTGTCCTTCGGTCTTTCCACCAGCGATTTTAGGGGTTCCAGTTTCTGTTAGATCCGTATCAACATGTGCTAATATATCTTTTTTTGTTATTTTTATAATAATGCATGTAAAATGGAATCTGCTTGTGGGATTCATAAGATTTTTTTTAAACCAAAATTACCTAAACTACCTAACCATGTGGACATCTCCAAGGATTCATTTTATGGGGTTAGATTCTTCTTTTGACATTCTGAGTTTTATTAAATTCTTGAAAAGGAGTATTTCTTAAAAGGCTAGCATATTTAAAGTACTGATTCGATTCTTGCCTCTTTCCCCCCCAAGGAATGTTTATTTATCTACATTAGAATTATGTAGTTCTGTGCAAATTTGTATAGATGGATTAAATGGAAAATTTACTAAATTTCAAATGTGTGCTTATACAGTTGTCCTTAGAGTGTCCACATAGTAGGAAAGTTTTATCATCAATTGTTAAGACTTTTTTGTAAAGAGGACTAGTGACTCTGGTTTTACCATTCAGCCGTAGAGTGAAAGTACATGGAAACCTAACGCCAGACTTGAGAAGTCTGTTCTTTCAGCATGCACCAGACATTTTAGCATGTGAGTTCTCAGCACCATGTAAACAGATATGCAATAAAAAAAAACTAGCAAATCAGACTTTTGTCACCTGCCACTCAGATTCAGTATATCCCTGAGGACTGCCTTCCAACAGGTAACATTCCCTGTCATGGCTTTCCTTGCTTTTGAAATCTATGATTAGTCACAAGCACAGAAAAATCAGAACAGACTTGGCAGAAAGCAGAACCAGAGAGATAAAACAAAATACAAAATACACATAAGAGGCAGTGAAGGAAAAAAGAATGCAAAAGTAAGAGACTGTTCTAAAGCCTCTTGGGAGTAAATCTAGAAGCCAGAAATGGGCATCCTAGGGTTTAAGCCATGAGGTGTCCTGCCCAGCTGAATTGGTCCAGACAGGGAGGCATCTGGATGTATTGGCTGGATTTCTGACACTTAAAATGTGATTCTTAAAACTGAAATGCAGCTGTCAAAAAAATGAATGTGGAATTGCTAGGTCATAGGGTAACAACATGGTTAAATTTACCATTTACTCATTGTAGGGAAAACCCAAAGGATGATAAGCCTGGTTCCCATTATACTCTGAAGAATTCATGTATTGGTACACCCATATACAAGTATCATTACTGGACAGAAAAAAAAGAGTATTAGAACAAGATTACCTAGTTTCATAACTGGATGATGTGCTGTAGATCGTTGAAACCATGACCTGCTGTGTTTTGCTCTTTAGGAGACAGTAATTCTTTGATCTTTGTCAGTTTTCTTCAAATTAATATCTAACCTCACAGGGATCTAAAATTCCTGAATCATAATAATAAGAATAAATATGAAGTAATAATCATGTTTTCCCAGCCAGCCACATGACGCTTAAATGGACACATTATATGATGCTCAATCATGGCTTTAAAAGCTAAATCATGCTTTTCTAACAACATACTTGTTGTTGGGCTTGAATCTGAGTTAGAATTATTTATTCTGTTTCTAAAGCAGTGATTTACTTTGAAATACTGAGTACTTGGGTAGCTTTAATGTAAAATAGAGATTAATGGGTTGAGAACTTCATATTTGAGAATCTTATTAGACATAGTCCAACCAGAAGTAATAGATGGCAGCTAGATAAATTCAGATGGAGTTGGCGAAAGTGGTAGAAACCATGAGAACAGGACATAAAGCTTGAAACCAGGCGAGACATCTAGGGTAATATTTTCATATGGAAAGTATAGGTTAAAGGACTAGGCACTGAATATCTCAAACATTTAGTATTGAAAGAGAGTCAGGGTCCCTCCGGTAATGGAAAACCAGGTAACTATTCTAAGACCAAGAAAATCAAATGATGTTTTAATTGCATAACATGTTGATAATTCTAAAGGATAAGGAATAGAAGGTGATAGAATTTTGCTGCATATGCTGAAAGATGACTGCTTTACTACTTTTCCGTAATTCATTCAGCAATGGGAAGGGTGCTATGGGAAATTTAGTGATGAGTGTGTGCTTGCTGTTATAAACTTTCAGAATCATAGGTAGCACAAAATAGAAAACCAAGGCTTGTAGGTAACAGGGTGCTGGAGAGATTTATGAGGAGGTTTATGAAGCAGAAGTTTCAAGATCTGTGTTAGGACACTGAGTCACACTTCAATGATCAGAATAGTTTTTGAAGTAACTTTGTGCTGTAATGGGTTTGATTTGATCTGTGACTAGTACATATTGAGAAAAGGCAATGGTGATGCAGTTTTCACTTATGTGCAGATACATTACTCAACCAGTCTTTTCCCCCTAAAAATGGCCTGGATTATTTCAGAATAAATTAAATTTAGAGCTTCAGTTATGCTGACCTGTAATTTATGGATGCATATATGTTTTTACTTTGTAAATATAGTTCATTTACCCCCAAAATGCAAGGCAGACGGATGGGGACTTCAGGAAGAGCCATCACGAAGAGCACCAGTGTCAGCGGAGAGATATACACACTAGAGCATAATGACGGCAGCCAGTCAGACACAGCTGTGGGTACAGTCGGTGCAGGTGGAAAGAAACGGAGATCCAGCCTGAGTGCCAAAGTGGTAGCCATAGTATCTCGGAGGAGTAGGAGTACATCGCAGCTCAGCCAAACAGGTGAGTAAAGCGAATTCAGCTTAGACATCACAAGTTTTTAATTGAGAGGCCAAAGTTGCTCCTCATGCTTTGGCTTGTAATTGGATTACAGTATGTATTTGGCTATTCTTTACTTCATTTTTCTGTCTCTGAAAATGTGCGATTGTATTCATGTATTTTGTGTGTGCAGCTTGCTTAAGGAATCATGTGTTTTATCTGTTGTCAGTTATTTTCTTATAAACCGAAACCAATAAATATGCAAGGAAATGCAAAGAAATATTAGACATCCAAATTGAGTTCCATGTGAGAAAAGCAACAGGATTCTCCTTTTCAAAATGTTCCATAATTCAACAACTTAAAATCAAAGTAATGTCTGTGTTTGTTACAGAAAAGTAGGTCAGTTGTGCAACTTGAAATATAGTCTTCAGGCTGCTATGTAATTGTATAATTGAATTGTGCTTGTTATAGTTTCAAGTAAAAACTCAGCAGTGATTTTTTTTACTTTAGAAAAATGGGTCAGTGGATTTATACAAAGAATAATGTTTTAATACAAGGTTTGTTTCAAATATTTTTGCTTATAAGTCTTAAAAGCTTTATATCCTAAAGGGATGGATATGATGTGAAGAAAATATATATATATAAATATATATATATATTTGTGATATATATCACAAATGCAGAAAGTGGCTACTTTTATAATGTAAAAGTAATAAAATTGCTAGTTAAAATTATATAATATTTGATCAAACGCATTAGATAATTCCACAGCTATGTAAACCAAGGTAAGTGAAATATTGAACCTATTTAAAATGTCAACACTCCTTTCTGCTAGTGTACCCATTGGTTCCATTTTTCTGTTCCTTAATAGCAATATTTTATTATCACAAAATTATCTTTTATCAAAAATCTTTCATAACTTCCTTTTTATAGATCACTCTGTATTCTAGAAAGTACTGTTTTCAGTTATGCATAAGTAAGACATTTTGAGCCACTCAGAAATTGAACCTGTGCATACAACTATTTATATGAACAGAGTTTTATATTATATCATGAGATTAGAATAAATCTATTTTAACTAGCATTTCTGAGATCTGTTTTATTGCCATGTCATAAATTGAGCAATTTACTGGGAAGGAAAATGGTTTGTCTTAAATTGATATTTCTTTACAGTAGGAATAGGAGACATTTTCATTTCTCTTATTTTGTTCTGATTTTTCCCCTTAGAGCAATATTCTTGGCTATTAGATGTTATTATGCTTTATGACATGGGATCTGGAGACGGTATTAATGTCCAGATTCCAAAATACTTCAATAACTATAATAAGTGGAAACATAATTTGATATTGTAGTTTCTTTTATGAAAAGTTGGAGGCTTATAAAATGGTTTATTTTCATCCTGCAACTCTCACCCTCTCTCTGCTTTGCCTGTAGATAGGGACATCTTTGTAATTCAGTAGTTGAAAGAAGTTTGTTGTAATATAAAATGCAACCATACTTTTGCATAGGAACTATTTTTGTTATATACCTCTATAAGTAATAAACTGAAATGATTATTAGAAGACGTTCATCATCTTCACTTGTTATGGTCATACATTGACTTTTAACTAATATCTAACCGTCAAATAATATCTAAATTTTCAGAGGTTCCTTATTAATAGCCTGCTTTCAAGGACTAATTTGCAAAAGTATGGGTGCAAAAAGGACATTGGATTATGAAGCTGTGAGAGAAAAGTAGTTCTATCCCAAGTGATTACACAAATCAACTTGAATTTCTTTTCTTAGGATTCAGCTTCCAAATATAATGGTGGATTTAACTAGATCGCCTCCCATGATCTTCCCAGGTGTAAATGTTATGTTCCTGTTTCTACAGCCTATTTTTATCTTTCCATTGATAGTCTAGCCTTAGATGCCATCCTTGCAGTTTTCCTAAGTGACAAATGTTGATAAATCTCAGTTATCACTCTTCAGTGCTAAGATTGATTTTCTAATTCTTATGTCTTCCACTTTTTTTCTTCCATCAATGATTATATTGTGTTTTGCCTATATATTCACTAAAACCCACTTTCATACCTAATTATTTTCATTTTTTTTTATTACTGCAACTTCTTCCTAAGACACCCAATCTGTATTTCCAGATCCTTCCCACTTCAGGAATAGTTTTTAATTATAATTTCCGACAAGAAAATTCTTCTTGGTGGCCTCATTTTAAACCAACCTGTTATTTCCACATCTCTCCATTTCAGAACATCCTTGTTAGTAATACCGCAGTGCTATCCTTGTAAACTTGTAAAGTAGTATCATCTTATAATTTTTTAAAATAAGCTCTTCTCCAGGCTCATCACTTCAGAACAACCATCTGGTACGTAACTCAATTCTAATGAGTTCTGTTACAATTTATTTTAATATTTTAATTGTGAAACAAATCCCATGATCTAGGGCAGTGAAGCATTTAGCGGGAGGGGTTGGCTCTCAAATGAACAGATAATGACAAAGTACTTTGTCATGTTATTGATGGATCCCAGATTTGTAGCAGGCAAACAGCCTTACTTCAGTAGTAAGATAAGCAGGGTATCTTAGGGAATAGAGCTAATGTGCGTATAATAAATGTTTAATTATGCTTAATGTAAAGAATTATTTTCAAGAATTCTCTCCTAGGTAGTTTCTTTGAAGCTTACCTTAAGATTCCCTGAATTAAAGATTTCCTTTCCTTAGTATAACAGATGACAGATAATTTGGAAAATATGAAACACTTATCAAGAAAATATTACTCACTTTTTTGAATCCTAGAGTTTAGCACACCATTTTCTACTTTCCTTTTTATTGCCAGAAATACACTCAAATGAGTAATCTCATTGACCCTGCTTGAAGTCTTGTAAAATTGATTTCAGCAAGATGAATAGCATAGCAAATTAAGTGTGTGTGCAATTTGTATGAGGATACTTCACACCAATTTTCATGAAAATGGAATTAATATGCTTTTTATTTCTGTGTAAATGTGTTTATTAAAGTTGTTTTCATTTAATTTGAATAGAGGAGTTCCAGGAACACAAGGGAGAACTAAAGCCAGCTCAACAACTGGGGCTGGGGCATATTGAAGGCAGGATCAAGGAGGTCTGTCCAGATTTCTCATGTGGGTAGTTAGGACCCACACACTGGAGTCCTCACCTACTGCCTGCCAGGATATGCATTAGCAGGAAACCAAAATTGAAACCACAGTGGAACTTGAAGCCACGTACTCTATTATGGGATGCAAGAGCTTTGACAATGCCTTAACTATTACACAAAATGCATGCCCCTTGAAAATTTTATTTATAGATAATATCAATTTTAAACCAAAATTATTATACTTTTTATTCATAGTGAAAATAGAATAACTTTGAACATTAAATGTACTTTCAGACCTGACACAATAGCCTATTGGCTAAATCCTCACTTTGCGTCTACCAGGATCCCATGTGGGCACCAATTTGTGTCCTGGATGTTCCACTTCCCATCAAGCTCCCTGCTTGTGGCCTGGGAAATCAGTAGAGGATGGCCCAAACTCTTGGGACCCTGCACCCAGGTGGGAAAGCTGGAAGAAGCTCCTGGCTCCTGGCTTTGAATCTGCTTAACTGTAGCCCTTGTGGCCACTCAGAAGGTTAACCAGCAGAAGGCAGATCTTTCATTTTCTCTCTGTGTCTCCTTTTCTCTGTATGTCTGCCTTTCCAATAAAATAAATAAATCTTTTTTAAAAGTCAGTATATTTTAAACTAAGAGAATGACAAGCAAGGTTTTGCTTATCTATGTGCTTCTACTAAATATCTTCAGCGAATCCAACATATAGCTAAAATCCTATTCAGAAAATAGTAGCTACATTACATTGATGAAGAAAACAGAAGTTTCTTTTTTTTTTCTTTTTGGTACAAATTTCTCATTTTATTGACCAAGTCTATTTATAACAGTTTTATTTTTTTGTTTGTTGTTGTTGTTGTTGTTGTTGATTACACCGCACTATGTGACACAGCTTTACAGGAACTGGGATTCCGCCTTCCCCTCCCCAAAACCCGCTCCCCTCTCCATGGTGGATTCTTCCATCTTGTTGCATTACCACAATTCAAATTCAGTTGAGATTCTTTCCTTGCAAGCATCTACAAAGCATAGAGTCCGGCATCTTATTGTCCAGATAAGTTCAACAGTTTCATGGGGAGACAGTCTCTGGTCTGAAGGTAGAGCCGACAGAGTATCATCCCAATCAATTAAAAGCCCCGACATTACATCAGTAACAATTTATAACGTAATGGAATTAGTTGACATGGTATTGTGTAACCAGCATGTTCAAAGAGAGAGAGAAAAAAAAAAAAAAAGAGTGCAAGTTCTGAACCACATCCTATGACTTCTACATTGACATTACAATTATTAGTTTATATACAACTGGGTTCTATACACCTTAAAACGGCTATAGATTACTATTCAGCTGTCTCATGTCTATTTTAATTTTAGTATTTAGCAGTTTATAGCATTGAAGCATGATTTTGCAGAACCTGGCTGTTTTTCGGGTAGTCTAACTCTATAACTGTAACAAGACATATGTCAACAGTTTAGGTGAACGGTTTTAGGAGGGGTGTGCAGAGAAATCTTCAATACCCTAGTGAGGAGTAACTAATCTTCGTGTCCCACCCAGTGAGTTATAAGTGCATCCCCACTGCCCATTTCCTGTTTCTAAGCTTTCCGTGCTGTTCTCCATCTATTCTAGATGGTTTTTTGTTGTTTATTTGTTTATTTGTTAGTTTGTTTTGAGGGGTTTCTGGAGCAATCCTGATGGTCATTATGAGTGAGAGGGTGGGGACCCAAAGTCAGAACCAGGCAAAAACCAGAGAAAGCTCCTCTCCCTAGTCCCGAAGGAAGTTTACTGAAAACAGAAGTTTCAAAGGGAGAAAAAAATGCCTGGGACAAGAGTATTTTGTAATCAAATCAAACCCTAGGTAAAGCTTAGGGATGAGCTATAGAATGCGTGAAAAAATATATATTCTTTGTTAAAACTT